CCAAATTTACTAAAAACATAAATAGATGTTAAACACCAAAGATGCAATTTTATATTATCTTTAATTTTATTGTTATACAGTATATAAATAAATAAAATTAATACTAAAGGTTTAAATTATTACAAAATCTAATAAACTTTAAAATTACTAAAAACTATAAACTAAATAAGTTTTTGAGATATTTAGTTTTGGAGATTATCTCTCCTACTCGTCCCAATCATCACGCAGAGGCTAGGTTGGCCAATGGACCAAAATGTGGCTTAGAAGATGTCAATGGACTATGTCCATTGACATTTTTCTCAGAGCCCATCATAGTCCATTGCCAACCCTGCGCAGAGGTGTATCTTATTTGTTGGAAAGGTAATCAAAAAGGTGGTTCTCAACGCTGGTTGCAGTAACCTTTTAATAGCTTATTATTTTAAAAGTACATCGATAGCACCCCCGAATCATACTTAAACTTACTCTTCGCATCACCCGTACAAAAGCTGGTTGTTCTTCCTAGAAAATCTTTTTAGATTTCTTTTAAAAAACTTTTTTCTTACTAAGATCGCTCATATCTTCTCCACAGGTTTTTAACCGTTTAATTTAAGAAGGAACATAACCCAGTAGATCTTTCTTTGGGGAGAAAAAAACTTGGATATCAAGAAGGATTATAAAGCGAACTAAGCGTGAAAACAAAAGCGTGTAATTCACGTACTCCAATTTAAATTGATTTTTTCGTTACACGCCTGATCTTATCTGATCTCATAGACCACTATCACGTGAGGATCTACATAACTTATCCAATTGCGAGTCTCACTTTGATATAACGTTACACGATCAGACAGGTCAAAAATTCCTTCGAGCAATTTTAACGAACTTAAAGATTTTTTCGTGCGCTATTTCACTGTCACGCAGGGATGGTAAATAACCCAAATGACTCAAATGACAAATGATTGCAGAATTGGCCGCCAAGCAAAATTAAATTTTATATAATCAATATCGTAGCTATATATCAAAATCAAAAATTTACTAAATCAATTAATATTTATGTCTTAAGTTGTTCTGAAATTTTTATATAAATTTTTAAATTTTTTCGCGTAAACGTAATATGCGAAAGTAAATTAATAAAAAGGTATTCTATTTACATGAAATTTTCAAAATACACGCGATTTCTTATCCCGAACAACTTTATTTAAGACATAAATATTAATTGACTTTGTAAAATTTTAATTTTAATATATAGCTACGATTATCGATTAGAAAGTAATAACTTTATATAAGTAATCCAACCAATAAAATTACCTTATATGAAATGCGCCTTTTTTATAGCGCGACTAAGGTTGCAACCTATTGTCGCAATAGAATGTGACATCGGTAATATCGTATTTATGACTTATCTTGTAATAATTACAGCATAAATAAGCTGCAAAAATTAAGTTGCGCCTTTGCAGCAAGCAACACTACTTGGGATCATTTGATCAAATGACCAGGTCATTTACCATCAACTACCCCAACAACACGCCGAAAAATTTTGCAAAACGTGACCACGAGCCAATCACAGTTGAAGATCAGGTGTAACGTAACACAATCCGAAAAATTAAAACCAACTGTTCTTTTTGCCCATAACTCAAAAATCTACATAGGAAACCATCTTAGTGTTCTAACAAAAAGTTTTCCTTGAATGATTTTACTATATATTACATTAATAACAAACACTAATATAATCTCTAACCCAGTATTAACAACCTTTTAAGAGTTTTATTATCGCAGAATTTTCGGGGTGTTGTTGGAGTAGTTTTTACCATCTCGCTATCACGTGACACAAAACTTTTAATGGTGACACAGAGGAAGATGACAGATTTTGTATAATTGGCTGATGCAAAACGATTGTTCGGCACAGGGACAGTGAATTTTTCCTGCAGTAGCAAATCAAAATTATGTGAATACGTACGTACGTACGTACCAAATTCAAATTATATTTGCCAAATTATATATGCGATTCTGTGATGTGCGATTCTATGATATATTTGGCCAAATTATGCAATTCTGTGTCGAAAAATTTTATTCATCGACTTGCCATGTATTACTCCGCGGTGATATAATTCTGTGGTGTTATGTGAAACACAGAATCACTGTCCCTGTTCGGCTACCTTATTTACGAGAATGTAACGTTTTACTAACAAAACATCACTATAAATGTCACTTCTAGCTTCGAAAGAAAGCTCATACTCATTATGCAAAAGGAAAAGCTAGAGAACTTCACTTAGAGGCGAATATTTTTATTGCGTATTTATTGGTATTACTATTTGCTAAAACATTCAATTAAAAGAGTGACTAAGTTGTTTATATAAGGTAAATTTGAAATTTTTAAACAAAAACTCTTGCAAGCCATTCAATTTATTTAAAATATTCTTTAAAGATCTTAACGCTTTATATTAATTTGCGGCTGAAACTTGAAATTAGGAACCTCGATTTAAAAATATAAACCCTACCAAAATCCACTTATACATTTTTATAATAAAACTAACCCTAAAATTCTAAGCTAACTATAAAAAAAAGCTAAAAAAATGCACCCCAAAAATTTTTGAAAATTTCAAGCTTCAGCGATATTTAATATTATATAGAAGTTAGGTCATTAAATAGATATGAATATGTAGATAGATACGCGTAGTATTATTTAATTAATAATACAGACTAAAGGTGGTAATTTCAAATTCAGGGTTATAATGAGTTATAGTTAAAAAAGAGGATGATTACATAAAGTTCATAGAATTTTACGTATGAATGTTTTTCTATGTTGGCGGATGCAAATATATGTATCAAAATAGAGAAACATATGTAGGATTGTTCAATTAATAATATACTATATTCTTAAGAGTAACTTGTGGAAGTAATAATTAAAATGGAATTTCTATTCAAATATATATTAATTATGTATAATTTAATAAAGGATAGTAGCGATAGGCTTCGCTGATGTAAAGTTTACAAAATTGTTTAATTTGATTGGTCAATGATCACATTTTGATCGCCTTTATATGAATTTCTCCACTACTAATTTAGTATGTTCCCTGACTGTACATATGCTAAACGTGTTACTGTAGAAAATTTTGATTGGATCTACTTTCATCTACTATTATAAAACTTTAACTTAAAAAATAAACTTAACAAATAAACCGGACCGGATAGCGAGCTGGAACATTTTCCAAAATGGTCTGAAATTTTGAAATTTCGTTTTGATTTTTTTTAATTCTCTGTCGATCATATAATATCATGTTCAGTAAACATATGAGCTCACGTAAAAATAGACAGATAATCACTTAGATTAAAAATTTACTACTTTTGTATTATATTACCACGTTTTTAAACTTTGATTTGATTCACGATAATCACGTAATTGTAAAACTTTTAACTAGACTAACATTTCCTTTCACCTTGGATCCCTATAGTTCTGTAACGCTAGAACGAACATGTCGACAAATTCAATAAAAATCTTTGCGGGCAATTCTCATGTCGAGCTTGCTAGACTCGTGGCTAGGTAAGGATAATAACATAAGCCTATGCCATTTTTAAATATCCCTATCTAATCAATAAGAATTAAGACGAATAGGTATTGACCTTTCAAGAGTAATGGTTTTAAAATATTCTAATCAAGAAACCTCTGTTACGATTGGAGAATCTGTTCGTGATGAAGACGTATTCATTATTCAATCCGGTTGTGGTGAAATAAATGATAATATAATGGAACTCTTGATCATGATTAATGCTTGTAAAACTGCATCTGCAAGAAGAATAACTGCTGTGATACCATGTTTTCCATATGCAAGACAAGATAAAAAAGATAAATCACGAGCTCCGATTTCTGCTAAATTAATTGCAAATATGATAACGGTAGCTGGTGCCAACCATGTAATAACCATGGATTTACATGCAAGTCAGATTCAAGGATTCTTTAATATACCAGTAGATAATTTGTATTGTGAACCATCAATGTTAAGTTATATCAAAACCAGTATACCTGAATGGAAGAATTCTATTATTGTTTCACCAGATGCTGGTGGTGCAAAAAGGTTGGTATGATTTTCGTAAATGCGATTTATAATAATTACTTGTTAACTAGACTTTTTTTGTTTTTTTCAGGGCGACTTCTATTGCAGATCGATTGAACCTTGATTTTGCATTGATTCATAAGGAACGCAAAAAAGCTAATGAAGTTTCACGTATGGTATTGGTTGGTGATGTTAGTGGAAAAATAGCAATCCTAATTGATGACATGGCAGATACTTGTGGGACTTTAAAGATGGCAGCTGAGACACTCAAAGACAATGGTGCTACTAAAGTCTACGCAATTGTAGCTCATGGAATTCTTTCAGGAAAGGCAATTGACGTTGTAAATGATTCTTATTTGGAGAGACTGGTAGTGACAAATACTATACCACACGATGATAAAAAGAGCATTTGTACAAAGCTTGACACCATTGATATATCATCTACTTTGGCTGAAGGTAAAAATGTTTGCCTAATCTATCATATTTCTTTGTAATTTGATGTTAACTAAGGTATTTTAATATAGCTATCCGACGAACTCATAACGGAGAATCAGTATCATTTCTGTTCTCTAACACTCCTGAGTAAAATAGGATATATTACTTTGGAGATGCCAGATTCTAAACCTTAAAATGAACAAAATAATGATAAATAATAATATAGTTATTTAACTTTTTATCCGTTTTTGTATCTCCTACTTTATATGCTATAATATAACATTTATCTGTTTGGCTTTTATTTCCATTATTGTGAATGTTATAATTAGTTTATTGTTTGTTATTTTAATAATAGTGTGAAATACAACATTTAGTGATATACGTATTATTAATTTTTTTTTTTTTAAAAAAAAAAAAAAAAACTTGTCCTAAATAGTGTAAAAGCATGTGTATACTTAATTTCCGTAAAGTCGTAAAAATAGATCCACACTTTATACTAAATCAACATTGTTTATGCAATATTACTAGGTCCCTTATTTATTCAACTAGCTGGACTTCATTGATATTAGAATAAAAATCTTCTCCAAAATATTTATCCATTAAGCGAGTAGATGTGTCACGCAGTGACGGCTCTTCTAGCAATGTAACTGACTCCAACGCATCAATTCCCTGCATTTGCTCCATGAGTTGTTGGCCCTAAAAAAAATATTTTAAGATAAACCAACCAAAATAAAAAGATTAATGAAGAATAAGGAATTGCTTACATTTTGTACTTGAGTTAATAGCAATTCAATGTATCCTAATCCCAAACGTATCAGATCGATATCTTGAGAACGAACGAATTCTAGAAATCCTATTATTTATTCATCTAAAAGTTATTAATTCACACAACAGAAAGCAACTGATGTATTATAATGTACATTTTTTACCTGGTAAAAGATCCTGATGAGGTAACGATCTCATATATTCTTCTCCATGTGAAGCAATATTTAGCAAACTATATGCGGCCTGTGGATAATGTGACATAAAATTATTAAGCACAAATGTCAGTTTACACGACTAAAAAAGAAAAAAAAAGAAAAAAAAAGTGGACAAAAACCAACCTCCTTACGAATATCAAAATTGGTATGTGTCGCAATAGTTGAGAGAATTGGAATAAATCCAGTATTAAATACTTTGATCAAAACTTCTGGACGACGACTATAGTATATAAGAGTAAATAGCTTAGATATAAATATATTTATCTGGTTTTTTTTTTTTTTCAGAAAAAAAAAATACTTGCGTTGCCGTAATATTGGACATGACCCATAAACTTTCTTTTTTGACAGGTCTATAAGGAATATGCCGCGTGCATAGTAAATTGTTTGAGATAAACATTTCAGTTCATGCGAACATATAAAATAAATAAGAATACTAATAATGACCTGCAGTCACTTTGAATATATTCGAGCATAACAGGTAAAAAATCTGGCTGCTGAATCAAAATGTCAGTATTGTCATCCGGTCCACTGGCAATGTTACCAAGTGTACGAATCAATGGAAGCGCTAGAGGACCATGATTGAAAGGCCGCATACGCTTTACCTAATCATTAAGCAGAAAATTATTTTTATGTCTATTTCAAACTCATATAAAAAGCCCTTAAAGTTGTTGAAATAACATACTAGAAGTGGTACGATTCCTTCTTTCAACAATAATTGTGTATATTTATCATCCTCTGAGCTGGTCAAGTATGTCAATACCCAAGAAATCTCAGAGACAACTTCATCCATCTGTTAATTCTAAATGTTTAAAATTAAATAGGCATAAAACACATAAAACATAAGAAATTATTACACACTTCCTCAGCTTCTAGGTAAAACAAAAGATGCTGAGTTATGCCCGCAGAGAAAAATTCATCCAAATTTGCATTTGGCCCACGAGCAAGATTGGAAAGAGCAAAACATGTAGTCTGAACAAGGCTCACATTCTAGTTTAGTAAATAAGAAAATGTTGCATTTTATTAATTATTGAAATATTAGAATATTTTCATTGGCATTAATATTCATTTTAATGAATAATACCTTGGAGTTAAGCAATTCAATCAAAGGAACCAAAACGTCGTTTGCACGAAGTAAATCTCGACATTCAGGGGCTTCCGCTGCGAGATTGCCAATTGCCCAAGCTGCTTGATCTTGTAACGACTTTGAATAAAGAACATTAAAACATAATACTTTGGATAGGTTGTGAGATTAAAGTGTTAATCAATATGACTTACAATATTTTCACCACGAAGAAAGGCAACTAAATGTGGGATTGCTGCAAACGCTTTCTGACAAAATTCCTTGGAACCCGCGGCAATATCTTTCAAATATTATTTAAAGGAATATAATGCATTGATTAATCGAATAGTAATTATAGTAATTAATAATACATGTAGAAAAAACATACTTGTGATACACCAAGTTGCTTGTAACTGTTCATCCGGATCAGTACCTGATAAGAATTTCTGATATGTAATATACACATGTATCGTAACGAGTATCAAATTCACTAAAGCAGTTAAACGAAAAGTAATTAAAAAACATACTATCAAAATATCGATGCAATTATCATTTACAACGAAATGATTCAAAGTATCTGGAGGATCCGCAAGGTATGTGCTCAAGTCTTTAAGACTAGAAAGGCGTGATTCACGATCTGAATCCTGTTAATTTGGTATCACGTGATCAAGACTGTCATTCTTTTATCAATCAAATAAACTTTAAAATAAAATAACCATACTAACATTTAAGCCAGATTTCAACTTTTCAATGTCTTGAAAAGTCAAATCAAATTCGGATTCTGCAATGTGTAAAATATTTTTAACACGTAAAACCTCTAAACTCTTCAAACAATATTTGTAAGTTAGGGAAATTCGAGTATTCGGATATCAATACCAGCATCATCGTCTTGGTAAGCATCCAAATTATGTTTGATCCGCTTAGCAGTAATAAGCTGCTCACGATGTTTTCTTCGAACTTGCGCGTCAAGCTCGATACGTTTTTGCCTGGCTTCTTCAGGACTCTTGGATATACTGTTACGCTTATACCTTGCTTTGTGAATTACAGTTGGTGGAAGAGGAGTTGGTTGTGTCAGTTTTGGTGGACTTGAAGATTGAAACATGAATATCTCTCCATTGTTGTGATTTGCATTTGTGAAATCCATGATCGCTAACAAGAGTGCGCAGCGTGAGAAAAAATAGTGGCGTGATAAATCTCTATTTATATTAATTCGCGTGATATATTTGGAAAATGTATTTCTCTCCATTACATGTGATCTTTAACGTTATTTCGAAGTCAATAGAAACCAAGGCATTTTTTTTAATTTTTTAATATAATAATTCATCAAAAATTTAACAGGCAGAGATGAAATTCATTTTCAAAAATTTTAATATAACTTGTACAAAATTAATTGTTCTCGGACCAAAACTTAAAAAATTTTTTATATGTTTAAATAATGCATTCAAATTAAATTATAGTCAGACCTCCCTAAGTGCAAGTCGTAGGAACCAGACTTTTGATATCTTGCATTTAGAGAATAATAAGAAAAAAATTACATTTATGGGAGTTTGGTATATATTTGGCTGGATTTAAATATTGCATTTAGAGAGGTTGGTTTTCATAATTCTGCCAGCAAGATAGAAATTCGTTTTGATTGGATACTTGTTTTATGGACAAAATATTTCATAGGAAGAAGTTCGTCTGATTGGCTGATGTAAATCAATTGCCCGGGTAACTTATTTATATGTTTTAAAGTACTT